TTCCTTTTACATCTGCCTTTTCTGGAAGGCAGGCCCCGTGAAAGCAGGACTTTTCTCTGTATCTTTCATTGTCATATCCCCTAGTGACTACAACAGTGCCTAGCACAGAAGAGATACTTTAAAAATCTTTGTTAGACAAGCAAGTAAACATCCTTGTTTGCTTTTCATGACAAATAACGCTCATCAACTCAAATGAATAAAATATTAAATGTCAAAATTAGTCAACTGAATTTCTTGATTTTCCTAAACACATGTATTTTGATAGATCTATTCAGAATTGTATCCCTGAGAATATTTCTTATGTCACTTTGACATGACTCTGAAATTGAGATTGGGGTGTGTGTGTAGTTATTTCATTAGTTATTGTCATAAATATGGTTAGTTCATAAACTGTTCTCCCTGCAACTCTCTGCTGAGTTGCTTTTCCATTCCTCTCTCTTTGACACTTCTGAGATTCCATGACTCTGTTGTGAATTGCCATAATTATTTGCAACAGAAAGGAGAAATTTTGCTTACCACAAAGCATTAGCGGTAAGTGAAAAGTCATCTTTTTTTCCCCCTGCAAACCCTGGGGACAACGAGAACCTAAATGGGTCTGCCTGTTATGTGTTGATATTTTCTCCTGCCAATTCCTTTCCTCTCCAAGGTCTATGAGATTGTGTCTGCATGCTACAGCTCTCCAAAGATCTGTGTTCCACTATTAGAAACTAATACTAAACCATTCCAGGCCAAAGAACTGATATTCTACCCTGAGACACTCAGAAGTTGAGGCTGCAGGAGTGATCCAATTTCCCTTTAATTGCTAGGAAAATAGACAGTTGTTTGTCAATTCTAACTTTTAAAAAATCTGCAAGCAACCCATTGTAAAGTGGAGTGAGTCAGTACAATTGCTACAAAGTATTTTTTATTGTCAGCTGTGTAAATCGGTGAATATTGTGTTGTGACCAGTTTTAGTTGGTGCATTTAAATGGTATCATAAAGAAATTCTCCCTGAGTATAGCACTCAACTGTAATGCATCAAAAATAAGCACTCAGCTAAGAACATCTGCATGGATGACTCCATGTCTTACTCATTGTTTTATCTCTAATTTAGTATTTACTATTTTTAGGTACTTGAAATATGCTTTTGAAATTGAATTATAATATTTATCAATATCTAGATTTTAAGAGCTATGAGTTCATATAAACTTTCTTCAAAAAATATTTATTAGAGAGGTCTTGCATCTGCTGGCCTACTCAACAAATGCCCACAGCAGCTGGGGCTGGACCAGACAGACCTTAGTCAGGAGCCCAAAATTCCATCCAGGTTTACCACACGGGTTAGGAAACCAAATGCTTGGACCATCATCTGCTGCCTCCCACTTGGCATTACCAGGAAGCTGGTATTATTAACAAGATGTTCTGACGAATAACATGAGGGCTTCAAAACACTTCTGTTGGTGAATACAAACATGTATTTAATGCACAATTAGTAAGAGAAACAGCTCTATTATAACTTCAATGGGGGTTTTTAGTAGAAAATATGATTAGAACTTAAAATCAGTGTTTCATGTCACTACTGTTGGGCTTCCTTCAATTTTTCACCGATTTCAGTGAGCGAGTGAATGTGCCTATGTGTGTTAGAGAAATAGGTGTCCCAAAAGACTTTTTTTTTCTTGCTAATAAAATGCCTGTTAGTCTAGTCAGGATTTGAAGCTAACAACTTGGCTTTTTTAATTGTAAGTAATTTTCTTGAATTTCCTTCCACTTCTACCCTGTAAATGTAAGGAGGTTTTTGTATTCGTGAGTATGTTCATTTGTTTGGTCCTTACTACTCCATTTGTTTTCCAGTATTGTCTTTGTCAATTCAATTCAGCTAATATTTCTTTTAATCTAGAATGTGCCAGAAACATAGACATAGAAGATAATGTAGTGCATGTCCTTCGTGTGTGGTAGCACAAATGGTCGCCCTCATGACTATGAAACTGAGCTCCAGCATAGCTTAGATGCTTAGCCCCTTTCCACATGTTGCCATTGTGTCAGATGAGTAGTTTTCCTGTTGTGCAACCTGAAAGTTTCCATTACTTTTATCAGACAAGTATATGAGGAATGTGCCTAACTCATCATAGCATAATACCAAAACATGACACTTAACAGCTGATAACAGCTTGCACTGCAAGAGCTCTCCGCTCTAGGTTAGGATGGTGTTTCATGTTTTAGCTCTTCTAACACACTGGACATACTATGAAGGGAGATTTTGCATAGGCTATGAATAGTTCTGCTTGACAGAATTTCAAGGGGCACAAGACAAAGAATGGGGAGGAAAAGATCTTGGAAGGAATCTAGCTTGAATGTGCTCTTACCTTTGGCAAACCTCTTTGATCCCTGTGCGTCAGATCCTTGATCTTGAAAACAAGAAATTAAATCAGTCAAGAATATTTTCTTTTTATTATTTTTAAATTGGAGGTCACAGTAGGTAATAAGGGCAGAAACCAGCGATATCCCAAATCTTGTATCATTGCCTGGAACATCGTAATGTTTAATATGCATCAGTTAAATTGAACTGAATTTGTTTAGTAAAAATGCTTGAAATATTGATACAGATAGGTACTTCAAAAAGGTCATGGAAATGGAATTAAATGATCAATTTATTTTGCAGAAATATTGTAACCCATTCATACAAGCAGTATTTAAAAAGTTCAGGGACACTGCATTCTATGAAAAAGTTAAACATTAATTTAAAAAAAACTTTCACCAAAATAAACATCTTTTAAATTCCATTTTCCTTGAAAATCTTGAAGAACCCATATGTAACTAAATAAAAGCACATTAGTTTTGTCATGGAGGAGTGGATGGCCTGGTGCCATGCCCAGTGGACCAGCCATTACCTCCTTCTTTACGTCATCTGCCCAGGAGGTCACTGTGCAAATCATATGGCTTTAGGAAACACAGTTTAATAAAATCAAAGACCTTAAGAAGCATGGGATTCTGTGGATCTAAATTCTATGATCCCACGACTTAGCTTTAAAGAATTGTTTTTGCTAGAGCCAATACGGTGGTGCAGCAGGCTAAGCTGCTGCATGCAACACCAGCATCCTATATCGGAGAGCCAGTTCAACTCCCAGTTGCTCTGTTTCCAATCCAGCTCCTTGCTAATGTGTCCAGGAAAGCAGCATGTGATGGCCCAAGTGTTCTTGGGTACCTGCCACCCATATAGAAGACCAGGATATAGTCCCTGGGTCCTGGCCCAGACCTGGCCACTGTAGCCATTTGGGGAGTGAACCAGTGGATAGTTCTCTTTCTCTCTGTCTCTTCTTTCTCCTCTCTGTCATGCTGCCTTTCAAATAAATATATAAATCTTTAAAAAAAAAACTTGGCTAACTTGAAGGTTGTCGTATGAGAGTAATATAAAAATATTTTTTAAAAAATTTTATTTGGGAGGTAGAGTTACAGTGAGAGGGAGAGAGAGAAAGAAAGGTCTTTGTTCCTTGGTTCACTCCCCTAATGGCCGCAATGGCCAGAGCTGCACCTATCCGAAGCCAGGAGCCAGGTGCTTCTTCCCGGTCTCCCATGCAGGTGCAGGGGCCCAAGGACTTGGGCCAACTTCTGCTTTCCCAGGCCATAGCAGAGAGCTAGATTAGAAGAGGAGCAGCCAGGACTAGAACCAGTGCCCCTATGGGATGCCAGCACTGCAGTCGGAGGATTAACGTACTGCGCCACAGCGCCGGCCCTTAAAAAATCTTAAAGATGTTAATGTTATGCCATAGAGTAGGTGATTGGTTAGGGTCAAGAATCACAAAATATTTTATATTTCTGATCAAATGAGGTATATATAGATTTTATTATCTTTCTCTACAGATCTTCTCTTCTTACTACAAATGAATATAGGGTGTTTCAACAGACAGCATTTCTTTGTTTTAATATTTATTTATTTGAAAATCAGTTACACAGTAAGGAGAGGCAGAGAGAGGGAGGGAGAGAGGAAGGGAGGTCTTCGATCAGCTGGTTCACTCCCCAGTCGGCTGCAATGGCTGAAGCTGCGCCAATCCAAAGCCAGGAGCCAGGAACTTCCTCCTGGTATTCCCATGCGGGTGTAGGGGCCCAAGGACTTGGGCCATCTTCCACTGCTTTCCCAGGCCATAGCAGAGAGATGGACTGGAAGTGGAGCAGCTGGGACTCGAACTGGTGCCCATATGGGATGCCAGCACTGCAGGCGCTGGCTTTACCAGCTACGCCACAGTGCCGGTCCCATGATGTCATATCTTTCAGCAGAATTTCAAAGCAATTGATTGTCACCCTATCACGAAAACTTTGCTTTTCCCTTGATTCTCATCCCTTTCTTAAACACTAATAAAGATGAGTGAATAAAGCGTCAATTGTTTATTAAAAGCTATTAATCCTATGTGATGTTAGTCTCCCAAAAGCAGGACTCTGAAAACTCACCCCTGTTTTTTTTTTTCACCCCTGTTTTTGACTTGAGGTGTATCGTCCCTTTGCACTGACTCTGTTGCAAAGAGAGATGAAGGCAAGCTGCCAAAACAGTTTGAATTCTAGAATCCTCTGGGCAATAAGTACATGTGGCCAAATCTTGGCAGTTCTATCTAGATTAGCCTTCCAGTCCTCAACCACGCTGGCATGCCTCTTGGCAAGGAGGAAAGCAAGCCTGTAAAGCAAAAACATTTAGTTCAGCAACCCTTAACTGCTCACTTCTCAAAGAGAGATGAGGGGGAACGTCTTTAGAAGAGAAACAAAGTGCAAATAGAAAATGCTTTGTGAAGTACAGGCAGATTATTAAGGATTGGCCAATCCCGAGCCTGCAGTTCCATAGTCTCATGTGACTGTCCCTCGGGAAGTGTTGCATTTGATTCTTACAGAAGCTTTTCAGTTTGCCCGAAGGTCCCGCTGCAATCTGTAAGTTGTTGCGTGGTAGAGGATTGAAAATTCTCAGAATAACAGTCTATACTCTACCCTTCAGTTCATGTGGCATAGTTATAAGTCTCGTTACTATTATTGTTTTGCAGCTCCTCTGACTGACAAGCCACCCAAACTTTTGTATCCCGTGGAAAGTAAACTGACAATTCAGGAGACCCAGCTGGGTGAGTCATTTTTGAATTCTAGTTGATACACTTTTGTCAACACATTCTTACTGTTAATGAGCCTCCATTGTAACCTGGTGTAATAATCTGAACTACAACCATGGGTTTTGAAAGGGGGCAGAATTAGAATACGCCTGCGTACCTGGTTTTCCATTCCTTGCATTGTGTGCCTTGGGACCAAGTTGGACAGAGGGATGTAAATACTCATTTGCTGTTGGGAAATGAAACAGGCTGGAGATTTTAGTAACAGTATTATAGAGCCATTTTATGATGTTTGAATTGGCTTTAAAACAGACATTATAGAACCCTTTGACATAACTATTAATAGGTTAAAATGCAGTTTCTGAAATTTGGGTAAAGGGTACAAATTCATTAAAGTAAACGTTATTATAATGGTTTAAAAGCATTTTAAAAAACTATTCCAAAATAGTGGACACTATCGTTAGTCTTTGAATAGTAATAAATTGTGAGCAAGTGACTTTTCGTTAAGGGACTAGTGAATTTGGGACGTAGGCCAAGGACAAGATATGGTTTAACAATCATAATCAGTTATACACAAATCACCCATTTGAAATACTTATCTTAGCAGTAAATCTAGAATTATGTAGTCTGATTTGGTTATATATAGGTCTACCAAATTATAAAAATTCTCCCTTTAATTATAAATATATATAGTCCATCCTGTTATATTGCCCAAGGTTTTGTTTTTATTTGAAATGTTGTATGCTTGTATATATCATAAACTTCAGCAGAAAATGATTTGCTGTTAGTGGTTTGATATAGAAGCTTATCAAAAGTATAATTTTGACTACATATTCATTTTAAGGAATTTCTTCTTAAATTAATTACCAGAGAGTGAAAATACATTCACTGTATACAACTGAAAAAGAATCAGTAGCTCAGCCCATCAGTTATTAATGTGGTTATTTCTCCTTGAGTGAGAATTTGGGTCAAAATTGTCCATGTGAAGACTATATTTGCAAAGATGTGATAATCTTTACTAATGATGTGAACAAAGTTATGGTACACAAAGATCTGATGATGGTTTTAGATCCTATAAAGTTATTGCAGTAAATGACTTTTAAACCCTGAAAATACTTAATGGCTAACTTTGAGGCATGAACACATGTAACATTTACATAAATCAGTGTATTCAAATGCTGCTTTGATGAATTTGAGTCTTTTGAATTAAACACATTAAGTGCTAGTATTTTGTGATGAGATAAAAACTATAGGTAGCATGAAAGCAGTGCCGTGTATGAGACAAATAGGTGCTAAAATTCTATCTCCGTCTTTACTCATGCTATAGTATGTGGGTTTATATTATGGTTTATTTTCTTATTGTGAATAAACTTTGAAATATAAATACTCAAGAGCAGCTATGCTCATATATACTTTTCAATGACTCTTAGATGTATTTCTAAGAAGTTACACAAAACTGCAGATATAATGGGCCAAGAAGTAGGGGGTTTATTCTACCAGTTATCTGTAAGGAACACAGCAAAAAGAAATTAATTGTATGTCTTTACTTGACAACATAATTAAAATAATTTTATGGTTTATGGTTACCTACTGGGTTTCTTTTTATTGTCCCTGAACTTGTAATAAATCATATGTGCTCTATCTCCTGCTACAGTGTTTTTCAAATGGGATAATTTTTAGTTTTTTTTAAACATTACCTTTTCTTGAACAAAGTTATAAAGAGTAACCATATAAAATTGAGAATATGACAGTTTCTTATGAAAATGGGAAGGTTTGACTATACACTCATTTTAAGAAACATGAGATTTGTCTTTTATCAAAATTGTCCCAGAAATACTGTTGTTGCCACAGAAAAAAGGAACATGAGTACTCTTTATCTACAGGCTAAACTGGAGACGCTAAGTTGAGGTTCAAATTCTTTTAAACAACTTGGGTTTTATTTTATGATTCCAATATTCAGTGTAACAGATAAATCATTTACCATCTTAAGGAAAATTAATTTTTTTAACTTTAACATTTGGATTTTTTGAGCAAGCTTGTTCCCACCATGTTAGTGTTGCGAAGAGGTGAATAACTGACCTAAAATATAAGTGAAAAGAAGAAAGAACATTAAAGATAAAAAGGCATAACTTACCTATATGTACTTGATTTTTCACTTCCTTGAGCATACAATTGTTCCCATTTTTAGACTGGAAAAAGCGATCAATTTCAACAGGTTCAAAATGTGATATCAAATCTTAATAGGGTCTGAGTGAGGAATCATTGGGTGAAAGTAAGGAAGATGGCCCAAAACAGTTGTAAGGAACTTACAGTAGTGTCTACTCATTCAGTTTAGACCCTTCATCAGAATTTCAATGGCCAGGAGTTCAGGGGACTGCCTTAGCCTGCCTTTGAATAAAGAATTGACCTCACAGGTCAATAAAATTCCTGTATAAGCTATATTATAAGAAAAATCACCAGAAACTACAAAGCTGAGTGTCCTAACATAAACATCCAAGCTAAGCTGCACATACTAACAGTCTTCAAAACTTTCATTGGAAGTGTGTGTTACCCTTCATTTGTGTCTTCTATGAATAATTTTGAAGCTCTCCCCTCCCCCCTTATATCCATCCAGCCATAATAACTGTAAGTCCACAGATTCTGTAGTTTGTCCACATATATGTAACTCATTAATAATAAACTTCAATAAAATCATGAAGTTCATGGTTTTGCCCTTCATCTCTAAATGTGCTTTTCTCTACCATCTGTCTCTGTCTACCTTTGCCTTTTTCTGCCTTTTGTGTTCTCATATTCTTCTAATTCCTTCATCTTGTCAAATTGGGAAGGATCTGATATTGATCATTTAAATAATTTCATTATGGAAATCAAAAGGCACTAAAAAGCAAAGTACTTGGGAAGATAGAATAATAACTCAATTTATATCAAACATGTAAATTGATAGGTATGAATTTCTGTCAATATGTGGTCACAGCAAGGTACTTCCATTTCAGGTGGCCTCTGTTATTTCTAAGCATGTAAAAGAACTCTGTGCCTTCTAAATAACTTTCAGACACCAGCAAATTTATGGACAGCACTTCTTGGGCAAAAGGCCCAAAAGTCACACTGTGTAATTCTGAAGGTCAGTCCAGGAGGTGAGCTCAACTTAGTTCTTTCTGGCTAGTATGCTCAAGGGAATCCAAAGACAGTGACAACTGTCTTGCTGAATTTGAGCCCTGAGGATGTCATTAAGGAATGTGGCCTACCTGTTATGGCCAAGAGCCTACTTTCAGAAAGTTCCAGGGAAGGGAATGACAGATTCCATTGCTACCAGATTGTCATAGATTAAAAATCCATTGTATCCTGGAGCTGGTAAGATACATTATATTTTACAACTTAAAATTTACTGAAAGTCATCATTAATTACTCATCTAGCTATGTGTGCCACCTTAAATTTTAGTTTTTTCTTTAAAAATTATACAGATTAATGGTATATATTTTGAGGGAAGAGAGAGAGAGAGAGAGAGAGAGAGAGAGAGAGAGAGAGAGATATCTTTGATCTGCTGCTTCATTCCCCAAATGGCCTCAACGGCCTGGGCTGGGCCAGGCTGGAGCCTCAGGGAATTCCATCCAGGCCTCCCCACCTGAGTGGCAGGAACCCACGCACTTGAAGTATCTTCTGATGCTTTCTTGGGTACATTAGCAGAGAAATTGATTGGAAGTGGGAGCAGCCAGAACTTGAACCGGCACTCCAAAGTAGGGTGCTGGAATTGCTGGCAGCAGCTCAGTCTATTGTACCACAATGCTCATCCCATTGTCTGTTACACTGTACACTTTAAGTGTATTCTGCTATTAAATGTTCTCAGAAAACACCCCTTTTAATTGGCGCATGACTTCAATGTGAATGTTCTATGATTTCTTATATTTTACTGGAAAATTGGATTTTTAAAATTTTCATCCTTTTATTTATTTCCACTGACTTATCATTACTTCAACATGACAAACTTCTACAAGGCAAAACTTTGGATTAAAAATAATTTTGTTAAAATATCTTGTTTCATATTTTCATAATTCTTACCAGAGAGGTTGTACAATTTTTTTAACTTTTATTTAGTAAATATAAATTTCCAAAGTACAGTTTATGGATTACAATGGCTTCCCCCCCATAACTTCCCTCCCACTCACACCCCCTCCCATCTCCTGCTCCCTCTCCCATTCCATTCACATCAAGATTCATTTTCAATTATCTTTATATACAGAAGATCGATTCAGTATATATTAAGTAAAGATTTCATCAGTTTGCACCCACACAGAAACACAAAGTGTAAGATACTGTTTCAGTACTAGTTATAGCATTTTCACATTGGACAACACATTAAGGACAGATCCCACATGAGAAGTAAGTACACAGTGACTCTTGTTGTTGACTTAACAATTTGACACTCTTGTTTATGGCGTCAGTAATCTCCTTAGGCTCTAGTCATGAGTTGCCAAGGCTATGGAAGCCTTTTGAGTTTGCTGACTTCAATCTTATTCCGACAGGGTCATAGTCAAAGTGGAAGTTCTCTCCTCCCTTCAGAGAAAGGTACCTCCTTCTTTGAAGACCCGTTCTTTCCACTGGGATCTCACTCACAGAGATCTTTCATTTTTTTTTTTTCCCCAGAGTGTCTTGGCTTTCCATGCCTGAAATAGTCTCATGGGCTTTTCAGCCGGATCCGCATGCCTTAAGGGCTGATTCTGAGGCCAGAGTGCTGTTTAGGACATCTGTCATTCTATGAGTCTGCTGAGTATCCCACTTCCCATGTTGGATCGTTCTCTCCCTTTTTGATTCTATCAGTTAGTATTAGCAGACACTAGTCTTGTTTGTGTGATCCCTTTGACTCTTAGACCTATCAGTGTGATCAATTGTGAACTGAAATTGATCACTTGGACTAGTGAGATGCCATTGGTACATGCCACCTTGATGGGATTGTATTAGAATGCCCTGGCACGTTTCTAACTCCACCATTTGGGGCAAGTCAGATTGAGCATGTCCCAAATTG